AAAGATGAAAACTTACATCATCTGCACGATGGTCGCCTTTTTCTTCATCCAGGTTTGTTGATATCGAGCCAACCCTAAAAAAAAAAAAAGGCTGGTCCAAAGCATGTAATTTTGAAATAGCCCATTTCTGAGTTGACCAAAGCCTCTCTATCAAAGCGGTTATTTTACCTTGAAAAACGTAGCCTAACTTTTTTTGTTACAGTTGTCTAGTTAAGGTGACTTCAAGTTGCGTACCTCGGCTTCAGCACACTAAAACAACCGTTTACATTTATTTGAACGTAATTTTTTACACATCCTAAACAAATAGCTCCAGTGTTGTTAGCACTTTGAATTTGGTCATATGGCGAGAACATTCCTCTATGTTGATTAGGTATTTTCTGTTTAATAGTTATAGTACATTAATAATGTTTTAACACATCGAAGATGTAGCCTACATATTTGCATACCGTCCAGGTTGATGCGATCGAGACAAAAACCTGGCTGAGATACTCAGCCTGGTTCGCATCAGTTTTTCCGTGTCCAGGGGCGGTGGCTCGGCTGGCTGCTCGTCCACTTTCTGCGTCGGAGAGCTGGTACCCAGGCTTTCAAAGTAGCGACCAACCAGCTCCTCATCTTCCCCTCCCTCAGACTTGTTTTCGTCTTCGCCAAAAGGCTTTGACAAATCTTCCGATGGGCTGATAACTTCGTCATCCTCATCTTCACTGGAAGCTACGCATTGAACAAAAACAACAAACTTAAGATTCCACAGCCTCAGATTTGAAGTTTTTTGGCCCGTAAGGTTATCGCATCTCCTCAACAGGGACTCACGGGAGGTGAAAACGGGGGAAGGTGGGGGTGGGGGCTTTAAACACGCTGCAAGAGTTGCACATCACGCTGTCACCATTCAGTGAATTTTACTGATTCGTAATAGCAGGTAACGTGTTTAAGAAGCATTGTCTTCGCGCGGCGTTGTTCCTAAGTTGTGAAATGAAGGCAGTTTTGATCACTTAAACATTGGGAATGCTTTTTGTGGAACTCTAAAAAGGAAACGGTAATAAAAAGTTCTATCATCTTACGTGATTTTCTTTCCTTTTCTCCCGCTTTATCTTTGCCCTAAAATACAAAAAAAAATCAACAACAATAAATGCGCAATCAACTCAACACATCACTAGTCTAATATCATATTGCTGCGAAAGCAAACACAGTTCAAAATAATTTTTCGCAAATATCACAAAAAATCTACCACTATAGACCCTTTTCATAAATGGTTTCCAATTATAAATTCTTTTGTAGGTACTGTATCAAAATTAGCCACTCTGGCCCGTTTCTGACTTGACAATTAAAAATAATCTTTACTCCCCAACGAGTTTATTGAGGTTGATTTAAATGCATACTAAAGAATTTGAAACTGGCAGCCATTTGCAAAAAGGATCAACAGCGGACAACAGCTTCATATGTACCTCCACTTCTTCGCCCTTGGGGTCCTCTACTGTTAAAGACAATCTTTTAGGCCGCTGGGCGGCAGACAGCTGAAACGAGCTGTTGAAAGACAAGACTATGTTATGGTGAAAAACAAGATAACGCCGGTAACAGCTTACATATTCTGCTGTGCCAGCCACCAGTTACCTGTTTTCTTTTTTTTTTTGGTCTGGCAAAACAATAAAAGCTGGACGTATGTTTTTAGTTTGCTCTAGAGTGAATTAATCACGGTGCGAGCAATGAAACGATTGTCAATTGCTTTAGTCAAATCATTCTTTACGTCCACGATTTAAAAAGTAGCTCTACTTATGAAGCGTGTAACGATTGCAAGTTTTGATTTTCATAACGTGGAAACAGACAAATCTGTTTTAAGTGGCAACAAACAAATCCACAAGACAAAAATTTAAAAGTATATATGACAAATTTAGTTAAACAGAGGCTACATTAAAGATAAATTTCTTAACTTCATTTATTCCTTAGAAAAATTTCATTAACGACATTTAAATTTGTTATTTAAGTCAAATGAATGTACATTTTATTGGAATTTATCTGTAAGTGGACCTTCTGAAACAAACGAAAGAAAAAGTTGACAGTTAAAAAAACTGACCGAGTTTCTNTGTTATGGTGAAAAACAAGATAACGCCGGTAACAGCTTACATATTCTGCTGCGCCAGCCACCAGTTACCTGTTTTTTTTTTTTTTGGCTGGCAAAACAATGAAAGCTGGACGCATGTTTTTAGTTTGTTCTAGAGTGAATTAATGATCACGGTGCGAGCAATGAAAAGATTGTCAATTGCTTTAGTCTCAATCATTCTTTACGTCCACGATTTTTAAAAAAAGTAGCTCTACTTATCAAGCGTGTAACGATTGCAAGTTTTGATTTTCATAACGTGGTAACAGACAAATCTGTTTTAAGTGGCAACAAACAAATCCACAAGACAAAAATTTACAAGTATATATGACAAATTTAGTTAAACAGAGGCTACATTAACGATAAATTTCTTAACGTCATTTATTCCTTAGAAAAATTCCATTACCAACATTTAAATTTGTTATTTAAGTCAAATGAATGCACATTTTATTGGAATTTATCTGGAAGTGGACCTTCTGAAACAAACGAAAGAAAAAGTTGACAGTTAAAAAAACTGACCGAGTTTCTTTTAGAA